TTTATGTACTCTGTACCCTGTCAGAAATGTCTATGTCTACATTGTCTATAGCATCTATTCACACCGTAGACCTGGAGAACGATATCTCACTCCTCTGTATACTTGTATATGGCTGGAATGACAAACAAACTTGAACTTGAACTTAATACTGTATATATCAAGCCATTGTGGCTGGCTGTAGTGTCCTTAACAATTTCTACTCTGTGTTACGTGAGCAGTAGTGAAGCAGTAACACAATTTTATCCTTAAGTGTAGAAAAGTCCATGCCTTTTGTACTCCAAAGCCCATGAGATATATTTAATTATACTGTATCTGCTATACAGGTCAAACACCTGCGTCAACTGCTTTTCATTTAATGTCAGATATCTTAGAATCAGAATAGCAAGAGGCTTGTTTAAGTAATTAGTAAATTAAGTATATGCACAACAGTTTCACCCACTGCCACTGAAAGGAAACTACTGTATGATACTACAGTACATCACCAACTGTTACTGATCTTGAAGAAAAAAGCAAAGGGCCAACTTCTGGCTGCTTTCCCAAGTAAATGTTTGGGACATCCAACCATTCTTATTCTGTTATCCATTAAGCTAAAACTTTGTTAAGTGAATATTCAGTCCAATGATATGCTCTTTTTTTTTTCCAAACCATCATGTCCTTACACAGACAGGCTATGTGAATAATGCATTTATCAAAAACAGTTTGCAAGACCTGGAGGAAGCTGTTTGAACATGTCACGATATTAGTTCCCCCTCCTTAAGGGTGCTCCAGCCCTTTCACTCAAGACTGTATTCTATGCACCTGCTCCCTATTCCCAGCCCACCTTAAAAGCCAGGCGCTGACGCTCATCCGGGCTCTGCATCTGATTTCCATATCGTGTGAGTCTGGGACCTGGAAGCGCCTGGTCCCGTTAAGGTTTTAACATCTGTTCCTGTTCCTGTTCCCCGTTCCCGTTCTGACCCGGCCTTCGTGGTTTTAATTCTTTGTTCTGATGGATCTCCTGGTTTTGGACTTACCCTTGCATTTTGGATATTCCCAAAGGACTACTCTCTCGGATTGTTCGCCTCGGCCACACCTCCCCCATGCACCAGCGCACCTTGGACACGCCCCCCCTGTCTTCAGCCCCGTTTTCCTGCATGACGTTTCCCCAGTGTTTCCCCACTCCGTCGGACTGTGTCGTCCGCATAGGGTCCGGAAAGAACTGTTCGTTACAGAACAGTTGTCTATTCAGGCTGCTGTAACGGGAGCTGGTCCAGGCTCCCATGAAGCGAAGTTTAAGACCCTGTGAAGACGGTATCATCCGGAAGTAAGTGGAGAAGGACAACAGGGAAAGGACTGGCTAACTGACAGGGGGGCATGATGACAATGATCAGGTGCTCGGGGGCATGGAGGAGGCATACAAGTCCAAACAGTCCAAGGGATGCGCAGTCCAGGGTCCAGGTAATGGGAAATCCATCCAAGACATATGAAGGTTAAAATCCGGAACAGGAACAAAGAGTTAAAAACAGACTAATGAGGCCAGGTGCTCCGATCCCTGGTCTCAGACGGTCAGGACACCGTGATGAAGCCTTTGCTGTCGTGTCTCTCCTGGACCTGCTGGTAGGCGGGTTTCCGGGCGTCCATCTCCCAATGCTGAGCCAGGAATAGCGAGAGTGCCAGGCTTAAATAGTGGGACAAAACAAGAGGCAGGTGCATACAATCAACCAAAATACAAAAGAGCCGGAGCGCCCTTACGATCGTGACACCTTCATCCCTCTTCCCTTTTCCCTTTGGAAAAGTTTTTTTTTTAATGTTTGGAAAAGTGACAAAGCTTCAAGTGTAATGCAGGTACTTGTTCTGCAGTTGTGAAGCTTCCAGCAAACCATTGGAACACCTCATTGGAATCAGGACCAGAGGAAAGAAGACCACTAGTATTCATATATTTATATAATACATAAACCCAACTTTAAGAATGTTGCTTGAAGAATGTTGTAATGTGCCATAGTTTGGTTTTTTAACCTAATGGAGAAAGTTTATTTACATTTTTCAGTGAATCAATCACCAAATGTGTCTTGAAGTGCAGACAGCTTTAGGTTTAAATAATCAAGACTTAGTGCAGCTCAGCAAAACATGTTCAACATACAGCATAACTGGAAAAGTGTTTGTTGTAAACATGCAATACAATACATAGCCATTTTGAAACTACTTGGTGTGCAAGGAGACAAATAATCTATAGAAATTGCCAGCATCTATACATCAGCAAAGTGTAATCTGTTGCATGCTTAACTATCTTTCAGGAAATTCTAGAAGTTACCTAGAAGTATTTCCTCAAGAAGCTCTAACTGACATTGCTTCCTGGATAGCTGAGAGCACAATGGCACACTTCACAAAATGCAGAAGTAGCAAAATGTGGGTAAAAAACGTAGAAAGAAATAACTGAATTCTAGCAAGACCAGAACAAAGTGCTGGAAATAAAATACAGAACCAAAAGAAAGTGGTCAAAACCACAGCAGCTCTCAAAGACATCTTTGTACTCTGAAACAGAGGGTGTACAAGAGGTGGTAGATAGACCCATAATAATAATAATTTCTTACACTTATATAGCGCTTTTCTGGACACTCCACTCAAAGCGCTTTGCAGGTAATGGGGAGTCCCCTCCACCACCTCCAATGTGCAGCATCCACCTGGATGATGCGACAGCAGCCATAGTGCGCCAGAACACTCACCACACACCATCTATCAGTGGGGAGGAGAGCAGAGTTATGAAGCTAATTCATAGATGGGGATTATTAGGAGGCCATGATTTTTAAGGGCCTATGGGAAATTTGGCCAGGACGCTGGGGTTACACCCCCACTCTTTTCGAGAAAAGCCCTGGGACCTGCAGACCCAAAGGCTGTAATCTGTAAAACAAAAATTGGAATAAGCAATTATATATCCCTGCTTTAAATACTTTAACCTGAGAGTTAGTTAAGAGATTCTTAAAAGATTCAATGGCAATAGTTCCCACGGTTTGACACCCAAAGAAGGCTCCACAGCCGAAACATTGTGTTTTTCTTCTCTTTTCAGCATGGAATAAACCTTTACTTGTTCCTTTGCAGCCTACACATGCTGACACAGCTACAGTATCTACTTGAAATAGATCCCACTTGGTTCCTGTTTTGTGTTTCACTTCTGACTCCAACTCCAAAGAAGTTTATTGATTTCATTGTGTCAGTGACTTTTGAGAACTTCCAATACTTGAAATAGGTCTCCTCGTTGTTTTAGTCTTAGGTAGTTTAAAATAAAACTTTTGAACTCTTAGACAAAAACATTCCTTTAAAACTCGGTATGTGCACTATTTGGATGCTTTTCCAGAGCAACTAGTTTAGTACTGTATGTATCATGGTGGCAAAAATCTTTTTAATTTCTTTTGCCATTACTATTGTTTAACTGTCATCTATTTTACAGACTATACCATAATTTAGAATATAATCTGTTCTCAGTTTATGTGCGTCATAGCCATTGCACATACTGTACAGCAGCTGCTGGGGTGTTTTCTGTCATTTCTAACAATGTCTTTCCAGACACTTCCAGCAGATGGCACTATTGACATTATTATTATATATGACATTCTTAACCTTCTCAATTAATGAGTGCTACTTATTTGTGGCTAAATTTTGAGAGAATGATACTGATGATTATACTGTGTTTGAATGTTCACATTTGTTCGGTGTCAGTGTTTTCTTCAATAGAAACTACTGATATATTAAATAGATTTTTTATAAATATGTAATGTTTATAAACATTACATATTGTTTATAAACATTGAACAGGGGGCAGCACAGTGATTAACACTGCTGCCTCACAGCGGTGGGTTTAGTTTCGAATCTGGGGTGCTATCTGCCCAAAGTTTGTAAATGTTCCTAATATTTGCTATTGGTGCTCTAGTTACCTCCCACAGTCTAAAAACACACTTGTAGGAAATTGTCTAACGGTGCATATTTGGGCCATGGTGTGTCACAGTCTAGAAATACAACTGTTTAAGTTCCCACATGTCACAGCCTGTATTCATGACCAGTAATTGGCAAACTGAGCCTGGAGAGATGGGACCACGAACGCATAGAGTTGTGGACAGTTTTTAGTTTATATTCCCATATCTCCAATTATTTGGACACTTTATAAGAAATGCAGAATGGAAACAGGACCTTTGGCCTGTCAGAGCTTACTCAAAACCTGTTATCAAAGTGACTCTTGTCACGACCAATATAATATGTACCAACACCTGAAGAAGACCCCACAGCCGAAACATTGTGTTTCCTTTCTTTTCAGCATGGAATAAACCCGTTACCTGTTCCTTAATATGTACCAATGTTTGATACAAATGCAAAATTCGAATTTACTGATGTGACATTCATCATCCAGTTGGTCTGGTTTTTCGAACTAGTTTACACCTTACAGAAGCAAAATACTGTGTGTTCTTCTCTTTATAATTTCTCTCACATAAATTGACTGCCTTCAATTATGCTGATAGGAACTGTGCAATCTTGACTACTAAATTGGGGCAACATTGTATTTTGAACTGTTCTTGCATTTATTAAAAATATTTTAGCTGTTTTAACACCACATAAATGCCTAACACCAGTCATGGGTATTCTTAAGATTTGTATTACTTGAGCTCAGTATCTTCTTTAAAAAAACAATATACCAAAATATATTCAAACACTTCACAAAACTGTTTTTTCACTATTAAAAGTAATACTGCTACAGTCTCACTGAGCGATATATACAGTATATAAAACTATCGGTCTAGAAAAGGCATGCATTTACTATGCATAATTAATCAAACACACATATGTACCATATTATTTTAAGAGAGTGACTTTGAAATGTCATGAACTGGATTCTCTGAATAGCATCCGTTTTGCCAAGTGCATTTAAATCCTCCTGTCATTTTATTAACTAGGAATCCAATTAAGAGGCTTAGCACAGATAAATGATGTCTGTGATGTACAGTACTGAGTAACACTGACCACATAATCAGACTTCCAGTGAAACTACTTATCTGTAGTAGGATATTTCTCTGAAGGGAAATGCACAGTATCAATACTGTGTATTGCTGTCATATATTGGTATGTATGTTTCCATTTCTCTCTGCTTTATTGATTATTAATCAAAATGGTTCTCTTTGGCTTTTTTTCTGGACTGCTGTCTAGTATTTACAAGTCATTGTTTGAAAATAACTTGTCACAATAAGTGAGAATGCACGGTTGTATAGTAGATTAAAGAATAAAGGTATTTACTCATGTATCTTTCAGTGATGGGATGTGGAGTGGATGATCATGGGAGTAGATAAAGCTTAAAAAAGACATTTATGACCTTTTTGAAATTTGCAAAGGAACAACGTGCAGCCTCAAAGATTTAAGGCATTACGTGACTTCATCTCTCATTAAAATACTGACAGGTTTGTTTTTACTGTGACCCTGGTGAATGCAGGAGAATTAGAGTTCTTTAACATACAAGAATACTTAAGAGTTATGTGTGTATGCACATGTAAAAATATTGAGATTGCAAGTACCATGGAGTGTAAATCTATATTACATTTAATGTCACTAATAACCTGTAGTTTGTGTTGGTGCTAGGATATCGGTACTTTTGCTTTCTTCAAAGTGTGTTCCTAATCGCCTAAAACATGATCTGATTTTGGAAAATAATATGCTAAAGTCTCAAAAGAAATATATTCATTGGATTTTATAAGGGATATATTTGTTTTTGAAAACTTTTTTGTTCCACAGCAGTTTCCAGTTTTAACCACCTTGTTTTGTTGCTCCAGTGCGTTATACTGTATATACATACAGCAGGGCAATGGAAAGCTAGAGTGTAGTTTGTGAAAAATGAATACAGTATGTATAAAAATATCCTTCCACATTTTCAATGATTGTTTAAAGTCTAGGATCCACTTTTGTTTTTCTCCTACAAGCAGTGTATAAGGTAAAGGAGATGGAAGGGAGATGATTGTCTTGCAATATAATCACCCCAGATCCTCTTTTCTCCCGGTGAACCTAATTACTGGATGTTGGGAGGCTATGAAACGTTAATTTAACAGGATTAAATTTAACCCCTGTGGGCTCTACTTAGCCTCCTCAGGACCCTGTGCAGTTGTGATCATACTGCTGCAAGTTCTGTGTTTTTCAGAACACGTGAATCACCAAAAATGTTATGTGAAGTGCCAGTTTAATGTGGAGAAACTCAGAACACTCAGCAGTGGTCTGGAAAACCATAAAATGGACAGAGTACATTTTAAATCAACACTGAGGTTTTATCAGTGATGAGATGAACCACAAATTGAATGCAAGAAACTATGTGTTGCTTATTTATCCTCACTACCTAGGATATAACGTGAGAAAAATTGAGTTTTTAAGTTTTCCAAAACTTCAAAAGTTACATTTTGAAGTAAATTGTATAAATCAAGGTATATCCAAGAGGCCACCACTCTACCACTGTCTCAACTGACATCTGTATATAAAGTATTACATGTATCTGACCTAAGTACAAATACAGTTCTATGATGCAGATATCATGTGCTGAGACCTGGGTCATGTCATTTGCTTCCTGTGATTCCCCACAATTGCGGGAGCACTGATTGGCATTAGACCATTTCCAACTTCCTGGACGCCGGCAGAATTTTTAGTGACTTCATTGAGAGGTGCTTTGCTGGAAGGTAGGGTGCTGTGTCCAGTCTGAGTTGTCCATTGTTTGGGTTATCCTTTGCTTCTTGCTGTCCTTTTAGTACACCTTCTGCCTCCCTCAAGCAATTTTGTGATTTTTATCAAAGTGGTTTAGAACATCTTAAAATGCAAGATATTATTTTTAGGATTTTAATAAACGGATGGTTATTTCCTGGCCATTAGCAAAACACTTGCTTTTAATTTTTTTTTTTATTTAGCCTTAAACATTTGTACAATATTAAGGCATTTCAAGTATTTCTGACAAAGCAGACAAACCTTGCAGTAACCGAGAGATTTTGGTTAAGCTTGATTATTGTGATTTCATTACTGGAGGTGAACTCGGGGAAGATTCTGAGCTGTTTTATTTTGACAGCTATATATGGTTGTAGCCTTACGTTGTTCACTGTGAATCAAATAAGTAACCTGGAGAAAGGAGAACTTTAAACGAAAATACCTCCTTTTACTCCAGTGGAAGGAAATGTCAGGACAGTTATTAGAGGTCATTAAAGACTACTAGTTCAGCTATACTGTATTTGTATGATATGTAGCATCCAAAACAGGTGTCCCTAGCATTGCTCTTAAGCCTGATGTTGTACATATTTTTTATTTTGGAATTACTAGTTGTTCTCTTCATGCTTCCAGGATAGGGTCCATACGTTGGCCATATTTGCCTGGAGTTAACATTTTTCTGATAATAGATTAAATGATATATCTCTATAGGATATAGAATACAAATAACTAGCATAGTTAATCTAAGATAAATTGTCATTTGTTTTATATGGTTGATAATCTGGGGGCAGAACAATGGCGCAGTGGTAAGCATTTCTACCTCACCACACTGGGGCCCTGGATTCAATTCCAAGGGTGCTTTGGAGTTTGTATGTTTTCCTATGCTTGTGTGGGTTTCCTCCCACCTGGGATTAGGTTAGGGCTTCTGGGAAAACTGGAGTATCTGCATGTCTGTGTATGTCCTCGATGGACTGGTGTCCTATCCAGGGTGTATCCTGCTCTGTGACCATTACTTGCCAGCATAACCTCTGCCATCCACTGGCGACCCTGTATTGGATAAAAGGATTTATAAAATGAATGGATGGTTGAGTATCTAATAGAGAAAAGGGAGACAAAAGACTCACAAAATAATTGTCTAGTTAAAATATGTTCAAGTAGGTAGCTGTGTCAGAAAGAAACACAACGTTTTGGCTATGGAGCCTTCTTCAGGTGTGGGAACCTTCACCCGAAGGGAACACCTGAAGAACGTTCCACAGCTGAAACGTTGTGTTTCTTTTCTTCCCTTTTCAGCCTGGATTAAACCTTTACTTGTTCCTTTGCAGCCTACGCATGCTGACGCAGCTACTGTACCTACCTGAACTACTTCAGCCTACTTCTGCTGCGACCCACTATGCCTTCCTCTAAATCTTTTTATTCCTTCATCATTCCTTCTCCTCCTCCCTGGGCTACTTGCCCACCTTTTCTCACCAAACCAGCGGTCTGCGATCCGTTCTCACAGCAATCTGTTCCAAGACCTGGCTTTCTAACCACCTCCTATTCCTTTACAGATGTTGTCATTATAATGTCATTCCTAAATTTGGTCTGAAATGTAACACTTTTTTCTTTGACTCTGACACCACCCAGAGTAACACTGAGAGACTTCTACAACAAATTTCAAGGAAACTAATGCTTTCTACCATTTTCTCCCTTTTTCTCCCTCAAACAATATCTTTCTAACAATATCAAAGAAGCTAAGGCATTTTAACAGCTAACAGCTCCACATCATCTTCCCTCATCAGATCCACACCCAAAGAAGACTTCACAGCCAAAAAGTTGTGTTTTTCTTCTCTTTTCAGCAAGTAATAAGCCTTTACTTGTTCCTTAGTTATAATATGGTTGTGCTTGTAGAGGTTGCTGAGAATATTCATGTTATACTTTTTGTTTGTGTCTGTGTTCCAGGGCCATTGAAGTGTACTGACATGGACAAACTACTTTCTGCAATGAGAGCCTAGGAATGTTTTAAGTGGAATTGACTGTCTTAGTAGAAGGCCCTCAATATAAAGTAAAAAGGAAATACAGTACAAACAAATTCTTCAACGTAAGACTGGGTGTGTTGAACATATTGCCTATAAAACATTAGAGGGGACGCATGTGCTGAAGAATTAATTTCTTTGCTCTTCAGGATTCTCCCCTGTGTACATTTCCCCTTCCAAGGTAGCTTGGGTTTGGTGTGACAATGACGCTTTTATTGCTGAACACTCCTGTCTTCTTGGTGGTCTGGAGTACCTGGCTCATGGTAGGGGGAAACGATACTGAGTTCTACGAGAATACTCAACCGATCAGCAGCGGCCTGATTCAGTGTGGAGAATACAGCAACCACGCCCTGCCCAATGGCAAATGCCGCATTGTGGCCACTCTTCCACAACTGGATGAACAAAGATGTCCGGACATGTTCCGCTGCACAGATGAAGTGTCCTATTGGCTCCACGAGAACGAGGAGAGGAAGCAACAGATCCTGGACCTGAAGGAAACAATCTCAGAGCTACAGGAGGAGCTCAGGAATCATAGGCACCGAATCAAAGTGCTGGAGTTACAGGTAGGTCCTATTAATTTTATTTTAATTGACTAAATTTTCATTTCCATGAAATTACACTGAAATTGTTCCACCGAAAAAGCAATATATTAAAGTGGGAAAATATTTTGGGTGTTGTGCAGAGGGATGATGAAGTTGGAATGAAATTGATATACATGTACAGTACATGCCGAACAGAACAAACATGCAGCAAGATACTGTACAGATCAATAGTTTTTCAAAATAGCTACCCAAATATGTTTTATTTTGTACATTATCTCTGTTGTAGTTACTTATTCAGATACTTTGGGGAAAATGACTGTGGAAAAAAAATTATGGTAAAAGAAAGCATAAAAAGCAAAGCATAAATCTGCACTTAAACTTGAAAGTGTAAGATCCAAAATAAATCTTTCTGACTGCATGTCTGGAAAGTAGATGTCAAAGGGAAGATGTTTTTTGTGTTGTTTAGATTTGAGGGATGTTGTGGCCATTTAAATAAATAAAATAATCAGCATACAAAAATCCCAATGAAATCTGTGATCATCTGTGACTTATTAAATATTTATGATTAATACAAGTAACCCTCGAAATCCAGGCAAATTCAGAATTTGTGCACAAAGCTATATATTAAATGTAGAGAGGCATTATACAAAAATATACACATTTTGTCCTTCAACATTATATAGTAGAACTCTAGCTTCTCTTTACAAAGCTCTGAAATCAAGTGGATGCCCTACAATGAGTTTCAGAGCTCACAAGACTTGGAAATGGTTGAAAATTCAGCCCTGACCTTAAGGTTATGTACTGTACTGTAGGTAGGATAGAAGGGTACACTGTCCAATCAATTCTGTGGAGATATCAGACAATCCCCCCTAGTTCTGATGGGCTGTGGACACACTAGCAAACCTTAATAATGCCTCCTTAACCCAAGCAATAAAAGGATTAGCTGTGAAGCCTGACCTTCCCATACATGCCTCCTTGCATATCCGTCACACTAATCTCACTTGGAGTGTCAGGCAGTGCTGTGACTCAGAGCTACAGTATACAAAGCTAGTATATTCTACCAAATTAATCCACCAGCCACCATTGTGTGTCAAGTCTATTTTTATTTGAAAGATGTATTAGAATAACTATCCTCAAGTCTATAAATTGTTTGTGTATGGGTGTATGCCCTGTGATAGACTGGTTCCTGGCCAGTGTGCAGACCCACATTGTGCTCTGTGCCTCCAAGACTGGCTCTGGGTTGTCATAACCAGGAATAAGTGAATTTCCCATAGTGGATGGATGGATGGGTGGATTATTCCCTAGTGCATTCAAATTGCCACCATCTTCTTTTTTGTTTATTTGGATTAAAAGATAGTTTTCTCCTGCTGTTGGTGTTTTTATTGGCATAAGGATCTGATGACTTTTAAAAGTTAGACTGAAAAAAAAATGTACAGCATGGGGATTTGAACTGCCCTGAGTTGTCGCAGTAGAAAAGGAGCTTAATGTGAAATATTATAAGATGAATAGAACTAAGCTAGATGCCAATCTGTATGACAAAAGGATTCTAGAGAATATTAACATGGTATCAGAATAGGTACAGTACAGTAGGTCTTGTTGAACTAAGTTGGTTTTTTTTTTTCATATCAGTGAAAGACGCAAACAATGTGTCACGCCCAGTAAACCTAGAGGGCACTCTATTTCTGTCCTGTTCCTCGTTCCCTGTGATTATTCATGTCTTTCTGGTGTGTCTTGTTGTGTAGCCTATTTACTTCCTATTTCTGCTCTGCTCCTCGTTCGGCATTGAGGTTCGGATGTCCTAAGACTCACCTAGCACAAGGTCGCTGTCCATGGCCTGGGGGCATAGGTTTCTGTACAGCATTTCCTGAACAGCTGAGCCCAGGCTAACCCCCATCTCGCCGCTACGCATAGGGTCTTTTCCCTCTCCTGCCATTCCACTGTTCGTCCTTTCCGACATCCGTGACACAATGCATGGTATAATAGGGTTTCAAAAGGTTTTTCAGAACCTTCCTCTGAAGAGATTAATTTTCACATTGCACAGAGGTAGTCGTTCCCAAAAAAATAGATTGGATTGAGAACTGGAGGAACTGATTTTTAAAGGAAAGTTCAAGAGAAGATAAAACCCTAATATCACCCACTTTCAGATATCGAGGTATAAATATATTGTTTTTATACTTAATTGTATGTTTCACTCTGAATCCCTCATCCTACCCAATCTTTAGCCTTGCAGCAGCTCCATGGCTCATTCCTCATATTGGGGTCACCTGACAGTCTCTTCTTCATGGAGAGGTT